GTGGGGCCAGGAACCAGGAGAAACAGCTTTCCCTGAATGCTGTAGTCCCAGGGATAAAAGACCAAGCTCCACGGCCCACTCCAGCTCAGAGACAGGAAATGAACACACAGCCCAGACATCCTTAGGAGTCAGTCCAGACTCAGAGAAGCCGTTGTCTGTGGACCGGTTCAATGACTCGCAGCCTAACACTCAGATCAATCACATTTCTTTCCTCTTGGAGTGAGTTCGGGCTGCAGATAAGCTGCCGCAGCCAGGTTTAATGGATTTTCAAGGCAAAGTACAAACCTCACTGCTGGCTGTGAGTGCACAGCGGGTGTGTAGTGGACCAGACAGACTCTAATAAGATGGCAATTGTTTCTGTTTGCCCAGATGTGGGGACAACCATGGTGTAGGAGATGGAGCCCTGGGCAGGGGGAAGGCGTCAAGAGGTCTGCATCTCAACCTCAGATCTGTGAGACCATGGCAGGCTGCTCAGCTGAAGCCTCTGTCCCACCCTCATCAGCTCGGACAACCTAGGCATGCTGCTCAACCCCTCTGAACCTCAGTTTCCTCATCTGGAAAACGGGGGTAACTATAGTATCTATCTCTGTTACAGGGCTCCAGTAAGGACTTACTGAGACAAAGCAGGCAGAGTGTCTGGATCAGAGTTAGCCCCGTATAAAGCTTGCCCTGCCTTCTGAGTGCCATCAGACAGTGGTGTCTCAGCTCTGCCAGCCAGGGCTTCCTCTGCCCTCCACTGCCCCTGCCTGGCCCACAGGTCCTGGGACAGCCCTGGAGACACAGGAGCAGCAAAGGCTCTGCCCAGCGAACCATTCTTCTCCTCCCGGATAAAGGGCTAGTGAGCCAGAAGCGATTCATTGGTCCTGTTGGAAGGATTCCTGTTCAGCTGGTTCTGCTTGCCCAGCTTGAGGGTGGGGTCTGGGGAAGGGACCACCAGTCTGGGAGTCGTGCAGCAACAAGCAGCAGAGAGAACCCTGGTCAGTGAGCCATTGTCCTGGGCTCCAAGCCCTGGCCCACCACTCAGCAACCACATGCCCCTCTAGATTCTTGGATTTTCTATCTGTGCAATGACAGCATCTCTCTTTGCTGTAACTTCCAGGGTTCTGTCAGGCTCACATGAAGTGGCAGGTGTGTAATGTTTGAAAACAGGAACCTGCAGGTGGGCCCAGGTGAAGAGGTGGCAGGGATGTTCCCTAGAAGGACTGGATGCCCCAGGCCTTAGAAGCCATCACTAAATGCTCCTGACCTTCCTTTTCATCCACCTGGCATTGTGCTGGGATCCAGGACTTGCCCCCGCCTTTCTTTCCTGCCTTCCTGAAAGCCAGCTTCTGCTCCAGGACCACAAAGATGCTTCAGGCTCTGGCCTCTGGGCATTTGCTCGGGCAGCTCCCTCCCCCTGGAACACCAGCTCCGAGGCTCCCTTCCACTTACAGAAATCCAGAATCCTCCGATTCTCCAAAGGGACTTGCTCTCTCTGACCATGGCACTTTAGCAAGACCTCTCTTGGGCGATGGTGACATTCTGGTTACTGTTTGTATAAATATTTCATC